GATACAAAAAAAGTAGGAAAAATAGGAGGCTACTTGTTATTTTCATGCACCTTCTCTGTCTAGTTAGAGGGTACTCGCTCCACGGTTACTGTCGGTGGAACAGATACAGTGACTTTTCTGGAACTATGCAACATCACATTATGCAGTAAGTGAAGACTTTCTGTTTTCCTAGTTGTGAGTAGCTGATGCAATGTAGGTTTATTTGTATCGGTTTTCGTGTAATGTCGAGGATGACGCGATCTATGGGCTAGGGCCTAAACAGGGTCGACTTTGGTCTGTTCCTGATCTGCAGTCGTGCTGCCCGGAATACGAATGACTAAAGATCATTGTATTTGTTCTACTGACAGTACAATGGTCGATAATTGGAATATATCGAAATGTAATAATTTTATCGTAATAGTATTTGCTTCCCGACCCTATTCTGCCAAATTCAACTTCAACTCAGCACGGATGGACTATGCCGTGGACAGGTCTGGCCTAACTGCAATAGCTTCACTTTATGATTCACGTTGGAGGTAGTTGTCTGGATCTGTCTACTGATTTTGGTCCGATTATAGAAAATTAAGAGCCTATGTAGGCCCGTTACGGAGACCCTGTGATATATTCTGCTGCTCGTAGTCCCGTGGGTCAACATTTAGGGGTGCTATCCGAGCGTCCCTCGCATGAGGTTATACTGTACTTCTTCCATCGACAATGTATACATATAATGTGGGTGTAAATAAAGTATGGTATGAATTATAGGGCACGATCGAACTCGCTCGAAGGAAAATAAAACGATATAATTTTATTTTTGATTCTTATAATTTTAATTTTTCTAATTTTATTGTAGGTTCTCGAGGCAGGGCCTCGATGAGATTGTCGTCCTATTCTTTGTGATTTTTTGCTAATTTCATTAAGTAATGATTTGTCGAGGCAATTATTTAACGAGATTGTCACTTATGTATTCGAAAGGTTATCTCTGTGTTATTCTATTTACAAATAGTTTCTAATTATTTATTTGTTTACCCTATGTTGGAAGAAAAAGGGTACGAATTTGGTAACGTAACATTTTCAAAAATATAAATTATACGCTGTGATACAAGGACATACGATTGGACTTTTAATTTTTTGTATGTGTATAAAATCCTGTATAATAAATATCCTGATGCAGGTTTGGTGAAATTTATAAGCTATATTTTACCTTGTATAACTCTTAGAAACAAGTTTATGTGTAACCACTGTTAAAAAAAATAATTTATGACAATCGAAATTTTCATAAATACCCACAATGCATTAGTTAAATATTATATAATAATTTTCAATATTTGTTGCCGATATCATTCACGACTCAACCTAATATATATTCTTGATATTTGAAAACTTCAATAATTGCTTCTATGTTTCCTTTTGTTTTATTGTGTTCTTATACCTCTGGATAATCTCCAGTATAAAAAAATCTCAGTAAAAGGCACGTACTTGTAAATTATTTCGTTACAGAATATTTCATTATGTTTTGAGAAGTACACAATTCTATGAATCATGTCCTTCATTACGTCTAGCAATATAAATAATCCATTATTATACCGAAACTCAACATAAAAACTAATACTCGTTATTATAGAAACTCTATTACTGTATGCCATTTTCGCCGAGCGCAATGGCGGGAAAATACATCGAATTCAAACTATATCCCTACCTTATCAAGAAAATAGTAGATTCACTTTAAGAATATTTTTATACCCGGTGTGTACACAGAACTGCCAACATAATAACGTTCAAAAATCACCTAATCCCAGTCGAATTAATATCTAAATATACCATTCACCATTGACTTTCAAGCGAGTTCCATCGTCGCCCTAACCTCCGCACCGATACTAAAATCTCCACCCGGTATATACAGGGTGTCCCACCAAACGTTAGCACCTCTAATATTTCACTTCTTTTTGATGTTACAAAAAAATGTGAAGGGACAATATTATCTGGTTGGAAGGGGCAATACTGTGATAAACAAACAAACTTCCTCAAGGTCATATTTTTCAAATTTTCTAGATCATCGGTGTTTTTTTTTAAATTGGACTGCATGCATCATCGTGGCGTAATAGTTAACGTCAAAACCAATCCAATGACCTATAGTAGTGTGACCTTCGTGTGACCTTGAGTACAAAAAATCCACAAATGGAAGTAGATTTAAATAATAAAACAACTACGACTGAGAGATTCGTGCAAAAGATGTGTTGAAGTTGATGCACATCACTTTGAGCATTTGTTAAAATAATTTTTCTGAAAATCAAAAGTAAGTGAGATATTTAAGGGTGCTCACATTACGTGGGATACCATGTATTATACATTTCTGTTTTTCTTAGATTTACCAGAGCCTCTCACACGCTTGTCCTTCGTTTTATTAAAAAGTCTGCTACATCTCTAATTGTTGTTTCACCGTTTCTTTTGTTTTTACATTGCACCATTTTTTTCGCTCTTTTTTGGTTAGTGGGAAAGTTATTCCGTAACACACGTGTCGCTAAATGTCTCCAATGTTCTCTCTCTGTTCTGCCGTTTCGGGAAATACATTACGATTTAAAGTATATCACAGATGTTAACGAGAAGAACGTTCTAGAAACGCGTGAAGTAGGGGGCGTGGGGCGAGAAAAAAGAAAACAAAAAATATCGAAGAGGTAACACGGAGGATGAATCCCAATGGTATATTCCACGATCTGTTTGCCTGGTCGCCGCAGGACTATTCGGAAGTGCGCGGCGGCGGCAGTGTGCCGTCCACTGTGTATATATACGGGTGTCCAAAAATGATCGGGACAATCTGCAACATCTATATTCCTCATGTGATTATAAGACTGCAGATTTTTATGCAAAATAAAATTTTATAAAATAATTCTTGAAGACAAGAACAAAAGTAGGAATTTCTATCTTCTCTTAAGTATGTTATTGAGTTAAGAATAAAATAGAAAAGTCGTTGCATTCGATGAAAGTTTTGTCTTTTATTGTATTTCACAGAGCTCTAGAGTCTACAAATGCAAAAAATCCACAGTCTAGTGATTACAAATCGAAAACTCCTTTACCGTTTTGTAATCGGGAGCTCCGTTTCAGAGATATGAGCAGTTAAACGAACTCCAATCAGCTGAGCAGTGGGCCACACGTACGCGCAGACCGCTCAGTTGATTGGAGCTCGTTTAGTTGTTAACATCTCGGAAACGGAGCTTCCGATTACAAAACGGTAAAGGACTTTTCGATTTGTAATTACATGAGGAATATGCACGCTTAGGATTGTCCCATCATTTTGGACACCCTGTATACGGGGGTGTGTGTGCGTGTGTGTGTGTGAACCAATTGACATCGAGATTAAGATTGTACGAGGTTTCGATTTGTATTAAAGATTATCACAACGGTCGGGTTAGTTTTAACGTTCTAACTACGCTCCGGCTCCCCGGAAGCTCGACTAGATTGATTGCACGGCGGTAGCGAAAGAGAGACGAAAAGAAAAAAAAGTAAAATATCACTCGGGACTATATACATACCTACAAACTGGCCGCGATCGTTTTAGCCAATCGTAACGATGCGTCTGAGTAATCGACTGGGGTACGTTGGTTCCGAAAATATCTCATTACGAAGTATGCAGTACACGTCTTACGTATCTATTGTTTCAACGATTTTTCAATTCACATATTTTTTTTTGTCTCTTCGTTTATCATCTTCCGTTTTTCTCGTATAGACCTAACAATCTCTCTCGTCGCGAGGGGCTACGGCTACATCCACTCCGACAAAAAAGGGCTGTATTTCCGAAAACCGAAATTTTGCAATTTCTTCGTTCTACATAAAAACATTGTTTGCGAGAAGGATTTTTGGCGACTCGAAAATTAAGACTCAAACTTTCGCGAAAAATTTGTTTCTACTGTAATGTCACTCCTTGCGTTACCGATACGACATTACACTGATCAGAGTTGGTTAGAGACAGTTTAAGAAAAAATGTATCGTTATTATCTTAATGACTTTTCAACAAACAACAATCGAAGGCTGAAATTTTTAAGGGGAAATATTTTTCACAAAATTTCACGTCTTAACTTTTGAGTTGCAAAAATCCTTCCCGTATACATTGTTTTAATGTAAAAGAAAGGTATTTGCAAAATTTTAACCAAATCGAATGTGACCGATTTTTGGAAATTGCGACGTAACGATACTATCGTCGAGAGAGAAAGAGAGAGACAGAGAGTGAGAGAGAGAGCGAGAGAGAAAGAGCTTCCGCGACCCGTAACGTCGCGGCGCTCGTAACCACTCCTTGCGACCGATGCGCCGTCGGTCATATTGCGGCCGGCTCCCGGAGAAAGAGGAAAGGCGAGATTTAGTGGTGGTGGTGGTGTGTGGTCCGATTAAATTGCAATCGTCGTTTGGACTCGCCTCGTTTAATACTACCTAAGAGCTACTAAATTCTCTAATTGTTTTATCGGCGCGAAAAATCTACGTCGTTTCATTCTCATCCCTAACCAATTCCTACGGATCGACGTCCACGACGTTTTCGTAACATCTCGGAACGTAAAACCAGTTCCGCTGGCAATAATAGATTGTCATAGGTTCTCTTTTGTTTTTTTTTCCTTAAGTGCGTTATACTTCGCTTGTACAGCCTAACCCCCCCCCCTTTTTTTTGCATTTTCTCTGTTTTTCCTCGTGCTCAGCTGGCCACGTTCGAGATCTTAAGGGTTTAAGTTCGATCGTAAGGGTGCCTGTTGTGTTCGTCTCTCCCAACAGCCCCCCTCCATCTAGAGTCCCCTTCCCCTTCCACCAGGTTCCCTCTTTGTTTGGCAAGTTCACGGCGACGAAGTGACTAGAATATAACGACTATATTGTCATGCACTACAGTCTTTCTTAGAGCCCAGCAGCGTTGAACTCCGTCGCAGCACTGTTCATGGTGCCTCGCCTTGGGTCACCATGTTTCCATGCTAGCAATTGCGTTAAAAACATATACTCTTGTTTCTCCAGGACCAACCGGGTTGGTTCCCGCCGTATATAGTTTCCAATTAAGAAGGATCCGCGGGTCCGTCAGAGACTGGCCTGCCGAATGTCTCTGATGTCTCTGCACCCAATTCGGCCTCTTCGGTGTTCACTTGTACCTGGGTCATAGAGGGGATTGTGGTCGACGGGTCCGATGTCTCCTCGCTATGCTGCTTCTGTCTGCGGTGTCCGTTGCTGCTCGCCGAGTCGGTATCGTCGACGTATATCCTGACGTCGGTGCCTATGGTGGGGCAGGCCCCTTCGGGTATGTACACCACGGCGCTCCCGGTTTTGCTACCGCTACTGCTCCCGCTCCTGACCAGGTTGTCGCTGATGTTCCCGCTGGATAGCGGCAGACCCTCGTCGGATCTTTCATCGGCGACGTAGACGCGTCCGTAGCTACTCGCCCGGATGGTAGAGCCGTATTGTTCACCGATGTTGCTCAACATCACCGTCGAACCGGCGCTCTTCAGTTTGGACGGTCTCCTTTCGTTAATGACGGATTGCACGTCGAGATCGTCTATCAGCGGCGCGGACACCCGTCTCTCGTCCTTGGTCTGCTTCAGGTCCTCGGATCGGCCGTAACTCTTCGAGGACTCGCAACCGTTCGCCAGGCTCGTAGGTGTCCTCGACGCGTTGCTACCGGTGCTCGGTTCAGCGTCGCCTTGGACGGGTATATTGTGGCCGTGGGGTGGAGATAACGGTCGCTGCTTGGCTTGGAGAGCGCGGTCACTGAGCCGGCTGGCGTCACCGGAGACGAACTCGCCGGTGGCCTAGTCACGCTCAGTAGGTACTTGTTATCTTGGGCGTCGCTGGTCGCCTGTGAAACAGAATAGTCGTGCACTGGAAGATAGTGTCATTGTTGATCTATTCTGAAGATGACATTTAAGATACTGATAGTTGGAAGTTGGTATTTTCGAGAGAGTGAGTGAAGCTTGTGGACTGAGTCTGGTTCGTAGATGATTCTTACGATCACTGAACATCCCATGAGGAGACCAACAGGGTGAATTTATCGCTGCTGGGGTGGAAAGACAAGCCGCCTGCTTTGTCATTGAAGTGAATCAAATTTACCTGCAACCATTGACGTTGCGACTGACTGGGATCACGGCTAGCTGTGCCGTAGCTGCGATGCGGAATGATCCGAGGCACGCTTAGATCGCTCACAGGCTTCTCGATAACTTCGGCGAATTCGAAGTGCATCGGCAGTAACGATCTTCTCTGATGGTGTGCCGAGTGGAACGTTTGTCGACGCTTTGACTTGAACTTGGACGGCCTTGAATTAGGACGATGATACGAGCTGCGACGCGACAGCGACATGGGAACTGATGCATCTGTAGTGTATTCATAATATTTTTATGTATCATAGGTTGCTCTTTAATGTTACAGTAAATCGATTAGTGTTCGAACGCTCCTTGGCACTAAGTGTTCAGACGTCATTCTCACTACTGGGCGCTTGACTGCCCCCCCCCCTCCACAGTGGTGGGGATGACGTCTGAACACCTAATGCCAAGGAGTCTTCGAACACTCATCAATAATTATTGTATATAAATATTAATTTGAACTCTAGAAATAAGTAGAAATCAGACAATTCTGCTACAGGTGTATCACAGTATCCATCCCTTCTTATTTCCAAAATTTTACTATGCCTCTTTTAAAAGAGAGTGTTTATGACATATTTGATTACAGTAGAGGTTCTCGTATCCGAATGCCCACTATTCAAGTACTCTAATATTTAAATGCTCTACCATCCGAAGGTTTTATTATCTGAGCGCTCTACTATCCGAACATTCTACTAACCCAGCGTTCTATTATCCGAACGTTCTACTATCCGAAGGTTTTATTACCTGAGCGCTCTACTATCCGAACATTCTACTAACCCAGCGTTCTATTATCCGAACGGTCTACCATCCGAAGGTTTTATTACCTGAGCGCTCTACTATCCGAACATTCTACTAACCCAGCGTTCTATTATCCGAACGTTCTACCATCCGAAGGTTTTATTACCTGAGCGCTCTACTATCCGAACATTCTACTAACCCAGCGTTCTATTATCCGAACGCTCTACCATCCGAAGGTTTTATTACCTGAGCGCTCTACTATCCGAACATTCTACTAACCCAGCGTTCTATTATCCGAACAGTATATTATCGGAACAGTTTATTATCGGAACAGTCTATTATCCGAACGTTCTATTATCGGAACATTCTGTTATTTGAACACTTTTGCCTCGCTATTAAACGTACCGTCTTACTAGCTAATAAAGCGTACCGTCTGTGCTTCTCTCTCGAGGCGGATTATAAATGAAGTTCGCAGGCAAAGAACGAACTTTAGCGAGGCCAGGTCTGCTAACAGGAATTTTGTCATTCGTCACCAGAATCGACTCCCGCTCCCTGACGTCGTCGTCATCTCCGACCCCGTCGTCGCCATCACCCTCCCTCCTCGGACTGTCATCGTCATCCTCCTCTTCCTCCTCCACCTCGAGCAGTTCCTCCTGCTCTGCGGCCAATTCTCTCTCCAGTTGTGTTTCCATGTCCAATTCGTCTTCCATCTAATAAAAATTATTGTTTTGCTTTTGGTCACACATGCTTCGCACAAAATTCTTATCTCGAGAATGAAACTCAGAAACATAGTTTGGTAAATCGATAGTAATTTTTGTACACAGTACTGGAAATATTTATTGTATCATTTCAATATTAAACAAGTTACCATTTACACCTTGTTATTAGTACCGTAGACTCGTGATAACTGCCTGCTCGATAAATATCCGTTTAGCTGAAACTGGCCACCTCTAGAGCCCGAAATGCGGGCAAGTATCGTGAGTCTACTGTACTAGGAAGATTAATTAAAACGCATTGAAAAAATGTGTAACTCCCAATTATGTGAATCACTTCCGTCAATCGTATGAAATTTTGCTGTAAAGTTGTGTATACTATGTCCATTTTAGAATGCTGCAATGAATGTTTCTAGTACCGTATATTTCGTTTTAATAGGTCGAATTTCCGAACCTGTTTATGACTCTCCTCGAGGTGTTTCATGAGAACGGCAACGACCACGTTGACAAGAACGAATTGCGCCATTAATACGAAAATTACAAAAAAAATCGGCGCTATGATGGTGCTCACGCAACAGTTTTTCACGCAGTCCGCCGCCTCGTCGCAGTCGTCCCTTAACGTGTCCTTCATGATACCGTTCCAGTTGTCGCCAGTCGCCACGCGAAAAAGCGTCAGGATCCATTCCGAAGTTACTGAAATGGGCGTGCTCGCCGAGTCCTTGACACGGCATTTCGTCGGTGCATTCTGTAATAAAATATAAGCTCGTAATGTAACATTCTATGCAATCAGTGAATACTATGTCAATTGACTCTATTCCTAGTATATTTATACCAATTAACACTAGGTTTACGGGACGCGTCATTTTGACGCATTTCGAATGCTTTCTAACCTCGAAATTCTCTATGTGGTATACCTATCTCTATAGCTATGCATTAATTTCAGAGATCATAAATTGTGTATTATATAAAATAAGTTGTTTTTTAAAGAAAATCTGCCGGTTCGTTGACGCGTGCCGTGGAGATACCTACACGATAAATGCCCGTAAACCTAGTGTTAAAATGTTATAATGGGCGAAGGGTAGTTATTTTTTAATTCTGACGTCGATCTATATCATCAATATATTGAAATCGATCAATTTACAGTAAAGTCTTGATAACTGCTCGGAAGGATCTCTACGTTAAATGCTTACGTTAAACCAATAATTTTTGAGCAGGAGCCATTCTTAACAACTACTTATCCAGCAGGCATTTATCGCGAGTTTACTGTGCTACGATTTATTCACGCCGTACACATTATATTAACCGTCATCAGACGTTGATGCTTTGCATACAGGGTGCTAATGAAACTGTGGGACACTTTCACAAGGTGGATTCTAAGGGTAATTCACCTAACGCTGCCACCTGAATTACTGGTAAACTGTTTGTTATATGAAACGATGTTTCAAACAAAAGTTGTACAGTATCGAGGGGGGCACACAATATAATAATTAATTTATTGTCATTTCGCTTTTTCATTGAGATATAAAATTTGATCGTACAATTGGAAAGAGTCTCGTCCTCCATAAAAAAGTGTCTTTATCCGAATTTGGATCTTTGACTCACCTAAACGACCGAAAAGTTCGACACCAAGTGCCGCGAATATGAAAAACAGCAGAAAGAATAGCAGTCCCAAGTTTCCGACCTGCGGTAACGCCTGCATTACCGTGTCCAAAAGGGCTCGTATTCCTTTCGCCATTTTCAGCAGCTTCAGAACTGAAAAAAGAAATATATATACATATAAATATTCGGTACGATTTCGTTCGAATAAAATGGATCGATTTTGAAGTAAATTATTTCTGAGTATTCTATTTCAGTTGACTTTCTGTTCACACGCCAATTGTAGAGTTTAATATTTGAATTTGTATTACTTGACGATCACCGGTGACCGTCATGGCCTGAATAGAAAGTTTGCGTCGGTCACCGGTGACCGGCACGACGCGAGGTCAGCGTCTGTCACCGGTGACCGGCGCCAAATGAGAATAAGGGTAGGCGTCGGACACCGATGACCTTCGCGATGTGAACAGAAGGTTGGGTGCCGGTCACCGGTGACCGTCGCGGCAGGAACGTGTTAAATAATTGTACTGCTTACTTCGGAAAATATTTATTCGTTTTGTTTACTAACTCACCTCTGGCGATCCGCAGCACTCTCATCACGCGAATTATGGTGGGATTGATCGGAATGATTTTCGACTCGACCTCTTCGAGAACAATACCGACCACCGACAGTATTACGATTCCGACGTCTAGCTGGTTCCATCTGCAATAGGATGGGTACCACTTTCCAGTGAAAACGTACAAAGAGGGGCGAAAAAGAAATCGAAAATGTGGAACAATGTTGATCGTATCGAAAAATATTGGTTTTGATGTAAATATTAATTGTGGTGAAAATTTTGGTAGTAACTTCCAGTTACTGCTAGTTATTACTGATTGTGATAAAAATAATTTTGAAAATGTTGATAATATTTTGCCGGTAAGTGATTTTAAGAGGAAGTATCGAGTTCCTGTTTTCGAATACTCGGAAAACAATTTGAATTTGCATAAACACCCAAAGCATAAAAATTCCAATTTTACTTATTCATTATTGTAAGTTAAGATGTGAGTATTGTATGGTCTGTTTCCAATGATAATTTCATTTACATCAATTGCTGGGTAATCATTAATATAAATTTATAACGTAAAGAAACGAAATAATAATAAAAGAAAAAACAAATCGCGTTCTGTGGTGGGGCCATATTTGACGAATTTTTAAAATTATTTCTTTTATATGTAAGTGTGCATTGGATAATAAATTTAAAGTATACCGTACATTGAATTTGTAATTGTACAGGGTGTTCAAGAAACATCTCTGTTCAATTTGCAGATCTACTGTTCTACACTTCCACGTGTGTCTCAATAGCAGTACATTAAGATTTTAACAAAAATTCAGTATTCATTGACGTTTTCACTTACTTGTCTTTTAAGTATAAGTGCAGACCCAACGCGAGAAGCTTCATGAATGATTCGAGGATGAAGACCGCGGTGAAGAAATAATTGAATATCTTTAGAGCGTAAGTCAGTGCCTTCGGCATCATGTAAAACTCCATTGCCATTGTGACAACATTCAGGCCGATTACCGCGGCGATCGCCAAGTCGAAATATTTGGACGTCACCACGTTGTGAACGAAGAGCCGGGATTTCGAGTAGTTCGTATAATAAGGTGGCTCGTGCATTTCTGAACAAAGAAAGATACAGCCAGTATATAGTCAACACAATTGTAGTAATTAATACAGTCATACTCAATAAACTCATAAGAAATATACTCGCGATCGATATAAAACATGGTCAATGAAGTCATAGTTAATACAGTCACAGTGAATAGATTCATAGTCAGTATAGTCACAATACAAACAATCATAATCAATACAATCATTTTATAGGCAGTCATAGTTCATACAGTCACGGTTAGTAGATTTGTAATCAATACAGTCATCGTCTGTAGTCTCATAGTCAATACAGTCAGAGGCAACACATTAATAATCAATATAGTTGTAGAACACACAAATGTAATTAACGTTAATCATGGTTAGTAGACTTGTAGTCAATAGCCTCATAGTCAATGCAATTTGAGTCATTAGATTAATAGTCAATATAGTCATAGTAGACTCAATAATAGTCAATACAATCATAGTTGATACAGTCATGGTTAGTAGATTTGTAGTCAATGAAGTCATAGTCAATACATTAATAGTCTGTACAGTCATAGTACACACAACCATAGTGAATACAATCATTGCAAATACAGTCATAGTTAATGGAGTCACGGTTGGTAGATTTGTAGTCAATCAACAGTTATCGTCAATAGTCAATTGTCAATTAGTTCATACTTCGCCGTTTCTTTTCCATTTGCAGGGCCCGCTTCGCGGCTCTTCGTACGCGCTCTTCTTTCTCCTGTTCCTCGCGACACCTGTGAAAGTTCTCCACCACAACACCCACGAACATGTTGAGCACGAAGAAACCAACGAGCAAGATGAAAGCTATGAAATACAACAGCCGCCATTCCGAGTAATTCTCGACTGGCTGTAACAGATGAAAACCAGATGATTACATATTACAGTAAAGTCGCGATAATCACCCACATTTCGGGGCTCCAGAGGCGAGCAGTTCTAGGAACGGATAATTATCGAGAGCCTTTAATAGAACATCATCCAACCAGTTATTGACTACATAAGACGACTGAGAGTAGTGGGGTACGCGCGTGTGTAAATAATGCGTATGGCCAGAAGCCATTTCTAACTGGTATTTATCCAGCGCGCAGTTATCGCGACTTTACTGTACCACTACAGCTAGTGTCTATGCGTTCACAGTGCTCGACCAGTGAACGTCCAAAGTGAACGTTTATCGTAATTCAAGTTCATTTCATAGTACAGGAAATTCTCGATAACTGCGCGGAAAGATCTCTACGTTAATTACTCGTGAAACATCCCCACTACTGGCAAGTTCCACAGTGGATTTCTATTATATTTTCTAGTATATTCCATAGGTTATTTCCATAATGCACTTCACGAAATAACACAATTCATGAAGTGCAGAAATAGAAGATTTACTGTATATTATACATTCTTTTTTACCTGTTGATCGACACCAACGGCGTCGAGACCGGTATACATGATGTTCACCCAGCCATCTCGCGACGAGAGCACGAACAACGACATCAACGCTTTCCCGAGATCGTCGAAGTTGTACTTCCGGTTCAGCCAGACGTTCCGGTTGTCGGCCAGGCAGTCGGTCTTATTGCGCACGTTTTTAATATCAGGCCCCTCGCAATAATAAAAGGCACCCTTGAAGAGCTGCACGCCCAAGATACCGAAGATTACGAAAAAAGTACAGCATATCAAAACGATGTTGCCGATAGGTCGTAAAGAGGACAACAATGTCTGAACAACCAGCTTCAAACCGGGTGCACGATTGATCACCCTCAGTGGTCTCAGCGACCGTAAAAGTCTAAAAACCTGAAAAAAAAAACAATAGGCAGTTAACCATGTGTGTGGGCACCACGGTAATGTTTCGAGAGTTGTCCACTCGTTTGGGACTGGCCGCGAACTGTTATCGAGGTATGGTAAACTAATCTCTTTTCTTATTGTAAATACAAGATTATTTGGTAACTTACGTTTAAACGAATATTAATGAAAAAAGGTGATGGAGATAAGATATGTATGGAGAGCAAGAGTACTCTTTCTATGATTGCGTTCTGTTAAATTTCTTAAAAATTTCATCCCTATCCTTAAAGTAGATACACTTTGTTTTAGTATTGTCTAGGGCGATACGGAGGGAATAAAACAGAAAGGATGACCAAATAAGACCATTGCGAAATCGAGTCCATTCCTCTCTATAAGCGCGTTGTCAGTCCCAAACAGCGAATTATAAGAAGGGGATTACTATGTTCCCTTGCTGTTAAGTATATATTTTATGACATTTTTACCGAGTAATTCGTGAAATTATCTCATTAAGAGTGAAACCAAATGTAATTTAAATATTCAATTATAATAATACATATGTGTTTTCTTGATACATCAGTATGTATTATTATTTTTGTAGTTGTAAGAAGCAGAATTAAATTCGTAGTTTTTAAACGAATAATGCATGGTATTTATGGATTAACCTAATATTTCGTATCTATTAAAAAAAATACATATACGGGGTGTTTCATTTATCTCGACCACTTCAATTTTTGTGGTGGTCAAGGTGAATGGGAGGTCCCATATTTTAATAAACACACGTACCCTCAATATTCCAAATATTCTTGGACTACTAGACGAAAGTACAGACATTGATAAATCGATGATGGAAATGATCACAAGAACTCCGTCCATAATATTCCAGCCAGAAGTGAAGTAAGCGTCCGAACCGTACAGCATACCGGATGCAACGACCTGTAACAAGATTATCCTTGTAAAAATTAATTATCAGACTTTTAACGCGTTCAAAATTACTGTTCACTATATGCAATTAAATTATTCGTTACAATTAATATTACACAAATATTTGTGCAAAATAATTTAATAATTCCTGTATTATATAATAGTATCAGAAATAAATAACGCATATGTATATGATCTATATATTAATAATTACTACATTATTACTATTATAGTGTTGTGAGTAATTTTTAATTTTTATTTTAGTTTAATAATAATTAATTGTGACAAGTCGATCTCTAAAAGAAAATATGTCTGATCAATGTAAATCAATTTGGATTGGAAGGGGTTAACAAGTGGATAAATTTTGGTTTATAATTATTTTACCTTAACGAACATTTCAACGGCGAACACTCCGGTAAAAACGTAGTTCGCTGTTGCTAAAAAAAGTCTCTCGCCGCTGTCAGGCGGTATATTCGGCCTTTCCATCGCCAAGGTGATACAATTTAGACCAATGAAAAAGAGGACCACATTGTCGAACCATTTCTGATCAACGAACCATCGGCAGAGAACTCGAAACCTGAATAAAACACATTAAATCGATTTCATTGTGACATTAATGAAAATGAAGCGTTAATTAAATAGACTCAACACAGTACACAAATTATAAAAAAATTTATCAGAACAATGTAATTAGGTCTACCAACAATTAATTTATTTTTTAATATTTATCTTTCAGCGATGTGATAGTGATTTCATAATATTTGAAGAATAGACTACGCAGTTATTTCGAAATTGAACCGTATTAGTAGTTCATTAAAGGGAAATACAATAAAGTCACTTTAACTGCGCGAAACTCGGGACCGCATGCGCGCAGTAAGCGTGTGTGGTCACCGTACGGCCCCTCGTAAATTTCCGGCAGAGTCTCGGCAGCTCGTCTTTGTAAATACAATGTAATGCCAGCAGCTTGACGGTCGCAGAAAATGACAGCGAATGAGAAAGAAAGAGAAACTACGAGTCGAGGGAGCCGAAGTTTGCATTAGTGTTGTTTCACTTGTTTAAACTCTTCTCGTTCAGTCGTCGGCTCGTGAAGGGGAAGCTGTCGACGTAATAAATTACACACTTGACTGGTTCCAAGGGGGATCTCCCCAGTGGTAGGGATGATGTGTGGGAAGTTAACGTAGAGGACTACCCGCGCAGTTAAAGCGACTTTACTGTAATTGCTTAGGGTACTTTCCGATTAACTGACACAGGTTCAGGTCCGTGTTGCGACAGTTATCGAGGGAAGTTAGGTGTTCTAGGAAACAATGGAAGCAGTTGCAGGAATTGGTGGGAATAACATCCAGCGTCAATTAAGCGGGCACTACTGTACTTATTGGTATACCTAACAGAGATATCGACACCTATTCGACGTTACAAATTGCATAATTATGACACACTTGTTAAACGATAAATAAGGTTTGAAAATATCGTAACAATCATAGAAGAATAAAGTGTTACCTGTTGTTCGGCGGGAAAAGATAGAGCGAGTAATCATCGCGTTCTTTAAGGCAGCCTTTAGGTTCGAAGAACATGAAGATCTTCTTGATCCTCTCGATGCTACTGGCGCTACCGTGGCCGTTCAGAGATGGCGTCTGTTCGTCCGTGCAGGGATTGTCGTCGTCTTGATCGGGAAGCTGCTTGATTCTGGGCAGTGGACCGGTCTCCATCGACAAATTGTTAATTGTACGCGCCGCTGTTGAACATTGTACCAGCGCATCGTCCGATGGTAACGTTTTTCTCGTTGGGGACTGCACGTTTTCGTATCCGCGCAGCGAGTTCCTCCGCGAGAGGTCGCCGATCCAACGCATCTTTGAAAATATGTCAAATTGAAATACAGTGGACTCGCGATAATTACCCGCTGTATTGGGGGGTTGTAGGGACGGGTAATTCTAGGAAACGGGTAATTATACAGTAGAATTTCCCGTATCCAAGCACCTTAATATTGGAACGTTCTACTATTCGAACGTTCTGTCATCCGAACACTCTAATATTGGAACGTTCTGATATCCGAACACCTTAATATTCGAACGTTCTGTTACCAGAACACCCTAATATTCGAACATTCTATTATCCGAACGTTCTACTACTCGAACGATCTGTTATCCGTACACCCTAATATCCGAACGTTCTGTCATCCAAACACCCTAATATTGGAACGATCTACTATCCGAACATTCCATTATTCGAACGGAGTGTGACCTAAGTTGAAAAATTTACATAATTTGATAGTCCAAAAAATATGGGATCTACAAATATTTGAATTTCTCGATTAGTTTGGACACGAAAGGTTCTATTGTATTCCATTTCTCTCAATGAAGTTTCAGTGAAACATACAAAGTGGCTGCCATTATCTTGAAACTGCAGTCATAGTATTTCAGTATTTTTGAGATTTAAGGGAAATAATATTTTCAGTAAATCTAAGTAGAGAGTAATTTTTTTTTAATGATCCAATCCACTCACCTGATTGGGCGTCATCGTGTAACGCCGTATGGAGGAACTACGGCTTTCGATCGAGTTATTAGGGCTCAGGCTACGGTTATTGCTTGTCAGGACGGCCGTACGGTTATTCGGCGTGTCGCTTTGCGTGTCATTCCTTATCGTGCCGTGTAAATAGCCGCCGTTGAAGCTACAAGCATGTTTAAAGGTACGTTCGTCGATCGAATTGTAAGAGATTAAAAAAAAGAAAAAGGGATAGAAATTGAATTTGTCTATGACTCTCACTTCGAATTGGAGCCAAGTAAATTGCTCCGACCGTTGTTTAAAACGATGGCTCTTCCAGGAGGTTCATCCTCGCATTGAGACCAACGCTTCCTTCTTAGGGATGGTCGGGACAGTTTCCATGAGTAACCTCTTTGTATTCTTGGTGGGCTGGGAGATAGGAATTGAATTATGAATGTTAATTAATTATACTGAAAATAAATTTTTCGGGGTAATGACAAATGAATCTAATGTAATATTGGTAATAATTGTTATAACATACATTATAATTATTATAATATTATTATATCAATATAATTCTATACAATATCAATTGTGTTACAATAATTATTGTGTAATTATATCGTTTACAATAATATTGTTATAATAATATAATAATTGTAACATATGTGAAAACAATTATTATTAATAGGTACTGTATTACATTCAATAGTCTTTGACCCATAAAATTAAATATATTTATTATAAAATATATAAACTATTAATATATATAAATATATTAATCATGTATCCTGATTATGTTTGGTATAAAAGAATACGTTTTATACTACTACTAATAATAATTACGTTTATCCCAGTAATATACATTAAATAAACAATGAGAATGCATAATTACATTGTAATAAAACAATAAACAATGGTTGCTGTTATTATATAATTACCACTACAATTATGTGATTAAAACTGAAAATTCAATTGTTTAAAACATATTGAACGAAGGGTTAACATTTATTTACCTCGAATTGGATGACTCTCTCGCCGCGGGATTAATAGTAGCGGTGACGAGACTTATGCGCCGGGGAAACTGTCCGGCGATAAGGTTCTTGGTCGGTATTTTGTTCGAGACGTCTGGTAATTTTAACAGTCCCGAGGGTATGCTACACTGACTCTGTAATGAAAATATTTCTGTTAAGATTCACAGATTTCCCCTCCCTTAAATATACGTAGTCTAATTGTTACAGCTAACATTGTAGAATGTGTCCTCCTTATATTATTTATAAAAAAAATCACGGATCACTGTTCGAACATGTTTCAAACGATCATAATATTCGGAATATTACTTCGCAGTATTACATATACAATAAAATCGCCTTACGTGCGCAGAACTCGTGATCGCGTGCGCAGTTAACGCGACTGTACTGTATACGTAATATTGCAAAGTAATATTCCGAATATTACGATCGTTTCCAACATCTTGGAACGGTGTTTGAACGTGTGTGTTCGAATAATGCGAAGCTCTGGACCGCACGCGCAGTTAACGCGACTTTACTGTAAATGTAATATTCCGAATATTGTGATCGTTTCAAACATTCGAACACCACACACGTTTAAACACTATTCGACTATGTTTGAATATGATTGATTACCAACCCCACTAGTAAGAAATTATGTATGTACGTACGCCCGAACGATCGATAGATTCGATCGATAGAGCAGCGGTCGGATATACGGCTTGGCAATTCAAGTCCTTGTAACCGACGTCGAGGGTGGTGTTCGGTGAATCCTGAGGTGTAGCTGCCGTGTGAGTAATTATCGGTGGTTGTCCACCCCCGCACATCATTTTGTTCTCCTTCTGAATGTTACATTTCGGCTCGACTATTCGGTGCCTCCAGACCGTGTTCTGCTTCTCTCGGCTGTTGTTGTCTTTGTACTTTCGCAACTCCTCGGCGCTCTGCCACGAGTTCTTCCGGTCCTGCGCGTTCCGTTAACAACATTATTTCTCGTTTAAAGTTTTTATTAGTAGACTGCGGACTTTATGTGTCAGTGGGCATAAACGAATCCGCGTAATGCAACACAATAACTTTCGTGAGGTTTGGTAAAGTTTCTTATTTATTTGTAATATTTTTCTATTCTTTTATAGTACTTTTAATTTACTCAACATCTTTCTTTTATTTTGTTACAATTTTCGGTTATATGTACTTACAATATATCATTCATTTCTAAAGTTTCTGATTTGTTAATATAGTATTATGGAACGCTGACAGAGAAAATGAATTTTCAGCTTAATTTGTGCGTTTGTAAACACTTGATTTATTAAATTTTAATAATATTTTTCATTTATTTCTGAAAAATTTCGTTTGTTTCAAATGTTTCTCACTTTTTCTTAATACATTTCATTTTTAAAAAAATGTTTCTTTGTAACATTTTTAAGTAACTCGTAACATTATTATACCCTGTGACCAGGAGAATAAAGTTTTGTTCAATTTTTCCGTGTTGGCAAACAAACTTGAAATAGTTTGAATTTGCATAAACATCTGCAGTCCATCTAAGTGCATTAAATTCTTTTATAATATTCATCAACTAACCCGAAAAATAAGATTCAACTGCATGAAAATAAAGAAAAAGTTACGAATAAGAACAATGGATTGTAAAGAAATACATGCTTATGTGGAATGTGTTTCCTGTCTATAATTACATTCTGTAGATTATCCTATAAGAGTCATTCCCGTTATAATATAAGATTAGTTGAGAGTAGGTATTGGAACAATAAGAAAACTATTCAAGATAAAAAGAATCCACCAACGAATGAAAATATTGCAACAAAAAGCCAATTTCTCTCTGTAATACCGCTCTTAGCTCCTAGTAGCGTGCCTATAGACAGAGAACACAATGATATTTTTATTCTGAATTAAACTTTGGCAGAACATTTTTACCATGAATTCGCAACATTTTCGCATTAAAGACAGAACCACAGATAATATGAGAAATGTTTCGAAATGATGTGCATTATCAATTTTCAAAGTTTCCAGAATTCTTGTTATAGATTCCTGATATTTGTATAGTTGTAAGCTTATTTTTCCTAAGTAATTATTATTGTTTTTATTATTGTATATTACGAGACTATTATTTGAAATGGTACAAACGTAATAAATAATAATAATACTCACGTTCAACAATAAATGTTTAGTTTAATAATAATAAAAAAAATACTGGATAGACGAAGAACTAAACTTACAAAAAAAAAAGTGGGATGATTGTTATTTATGGTACAATACAATATTAGTAGCAACAAATAGATATCTAATGGATAAAATTCGAATGGCTCTTTTTTCAAAATGATAGTATGCGTGTGTGAAAAAGGATCGGGTGTATTTCCAAATCGTCGTTAAAAATAGAAAATATTCGTGCAGAAACATCTCGCTTGTCTATTGTATGTTCAGGCTGATATGTGTTATCTAACAAGCGTAAGAATAACCTACTCGGTGTGTACCGCATTAATTGGCAGAGTGACCTCGAATGGCCGCGAGTAGCAACAAGTCATTATGTTCGCAATTACTGCAGTTGCAGTACACGATTTCCATGCGAAAATGGAATTACAAGACTCAGTATCTATTATATAAAAACATTAACAGTATTTTTACTTTGAAAATTTGACTTCCGATTCATCGTCACAAAATTTGAAAAGCAGAAGAACATAACCACACTTTTTGATCTTTCCCCGCTTTGATATATTTTAAATATTTTTATATTGCAAAAATGATGCTTTGTTGAGAGACAACAGCAACATTCAGTTAGAAAAAATAATCATTTTCGATTAGAACAGAAGAAAAAGTACAGTTCGTGTATGTTTAATGCTTGCCGAAATAATAATTCACATTTGTGAAGGCAGTTTTGATGAAACTCGTCAAACAGAGCCAAATCTGAGGGTCTGTGTAATTTTTTCACAATTTTGCAAACCAGCAAAGTGGTGACTCGAACTGTTCTTAATTTTAAACATGTAAAACAACGTTATTTTAATTAGACCAAATACTCTGTAATGTTTATATACAGAAACTTAAGTAGAAGTGTACAATAATGGTCAGACGAGTAAAGGGTGATTCTGTTTAATGTGCCACCTAAATTGGCGATGAACTATTTGTTATATGAAAAAAAGTTTGAAACAAAAATTGAAATTGAATAAAATTTTTCGTACATATCATGAGTAATACTAACATTTCTATAGCTAATACTGGTTGTACATAAATTTTATTATAGCTACCTGAGTGTAAGTATCGCTATCAGTGATCGAATGTGATCTCGATATCCTCGACGAGCCATCGTCGCTTCCCAATCCGGCTTCTTTCGCGGCAAGCCTCGCCATTTCCCTCTGTTCCCGTTCTCTTCTTTCATTTCTCTACAAAAACAAGTTTAAGCTCTGTCAGTACTGGTCAAATAAATGCATTATTGATTAAAAATCCACCACATTTCGTATAAAATAACAGTTCGTATAAAATAAAGTTAATAAATGAATTGAAATGTGTCACATAAAACGTGTTAGAATAATTTAATTATGAAAGTATCCTCGTCGATTATAGTCATGATCATAGTATGACTAATACAGTCATTTGCCACCTATTTTTTAATAGCACTAAGTTTGAAAATTCCTGTATATTATAAAACAGTCAAAGCCGTAACGGTAAGTCTAATACAGAGTGGTTCATAAGTCACTTTACTGGTTAAAAATTTCATAACTTTAATAACTACAGATACAATAAAGTCGCTTTAACTGCGCGAAACTCAAGTTAAACGGAATAAATTAAACGCTCGACTAATTCCAGAGAGGATCTCCCCCCAATGGTGGTGATGACGCGTGGACAATTAACGTAGAGGTCATTCCGCGCAGTTAACGCGACTTGCCATATTTTGAAATGGTAAACATACTTATAAGCCATCCCATGTTTATATCTACCGAAAAGTTCTGTCCACCTTCTAATGTACAGAAATTGTCAAACTTCAAGCTACAAAACGTAAGCAGCAAAAGACTATTTAAACTATTCCACTTTTGTGGTTTCGAGAATTCAGTGATTAATCTATCGAAATGGCCATATTTTACCTCTGACGAGAATCCTTCGACAAGAATGGCGACCAGAAGATTGAAAAGAACATAGTTCCCGAAAGTCATCAGCGCGACGAAGTAAAGGGCCGCCCAATGGGAGGTCTTCTGCATTCCGTTGAACAGCACCACGTTCCAATCCTCTTGGGTCAGGATCTACATACCAGAGAGAACAGAAACAAAAAGAAATCTTCGCTATGAACAACGGGGGTATAACGTAATCGTCAATTTTATATTGTCACGAGACGAAGAACGATAGGCAAAACTCCTAATTGAATGAACTCTTAAACAAGCTAGTCTTTTGTATTAAAACGGGTATGGCAGTTACTGGTATGCCGATTGGTAGTCTATCTTGACGACTATTTTTTTTGGAAGCTAATTTTTCATTGGTTTGAGCTCTAGTTTTGTCAGGACTGCAAAAGTCGTGATACCATGAGAAATTCAAAGTACCGATCAGTATCGCCTCGTACTTCATTTTGTTTCTCTCAGACACATACGCGCACTTCGCGACACACAACAGTTTCACCACGAATTTCTCTCTGTGCGAACACAACTGGACAAAACGAAGGCGTAAAGTTTTTATTTTGATTCAATTCGGTCGTAACATTCCCGTGCGTAACACACATAAGGCTCTAGACTGCGGATGCTTACGGAAATGTGTATTTAATTGGTTGGAATAATAATTTCCAATTCATAATTTTTCGAAAATTTTCGATTTTCAAAATGATTTTCTTTGAAATGTTCCGAATCACAATTTGAAATGTAATAAAAATTTGTTTGTGTTTATTAAAGGGGTTCTGTTAAGGGTTCCATTAAGCTCCAAATGAGAAGTTTGGAATAATAATTTACGATCTGTAATTTTTCGACAATTTTCGATTTTCAAAATAATTTTGTTTCAAAAGATCCGATTCGCATAATGTGGAATTTAATAAAAATTTGTTTGTGGTTATTAAGGGGGTCCTGTTAAGGGTTCCATTAAGCTCCAAGTGAGAAGTTTGGAATAATTGCAGAGGTTCACAAGGAGGCTATCACACCAACTAAAAAAATTTACCCAAGATTAAACCAATTTTTATATTCCTTTTTTCCAAAACTTAAAAATAATTCATTTAATAAAAGTCGAAATAAGAGATTCAACAAAACATTAATAAAATTCCCTTATCTTTGACTTGAAAAACACCTTGAAAAGATAAATAAATTTGTTTTCTGGTGCCCATTTTTGTGGATACTAACAATAATAATAGATTGTAAAAACAGGAATAACAATAATAATATCTGGAAACTTGGGATTCGCAAGAGCGTCCGCAGTCCAGACAAGCCAGACCAGATGCGGTTATTTACAAACAAACAAAAAGTAAAGGGGCAACACAGCAATGCTATTGCCTCGTATGTAATTGATCGGTAAACGGACTGTGTTAATCGCACAACAAACAGATCGTTAATCCACGCCTTCGTGTTGCTTGCAGGTTAAAGAAATTGGTGTGAGAAAACCGTGGGCCGAAAAAGAGAGAGAAATTCGTCAGCGTGTTCTTATCATCTGTCATAACGCTCCATTAAACCGCGCGTAAGAGCGAGAGTGAACGGAAGCGAAGAAAATCGTGGAGAAAGAGAGAGAAAGAGAGCGTGGAGAGAGTCGTAGATTAGAGAAAATGAGCTGGAAATGAGCAAAAAAGCGGAAAAATATATTTTTCTTATATTGATGTTCGAATATTTGTATAAATCGCAGGGATTAAAAAAATATTTTCCTGACCCATTCTTTTTGCTTGATCTGTTCTTTGCCTGACTTATATTTTTTGGCTGACCTGCTTTCTGCTTGACACATATTTTTTGCTTGACCTGTTTTTGTCTGACCCTTTTTTGCCTGACTCTGCTTCTGTATATTTACAAGTGAGATGGAAAAATGACACTGCAAACCATGGAAAGATTAACAACAAAGTATATTTACCGTCAGTGTGCATTCTGTGTGATCAATGTGTTAATGAATAAAAATGAATTTCAAGTGATGATCTACGATTTTTGAACCTGTTTAAAAAATTGGAATATTTACAGTTCTTCTTTTCCCACTTGTACGTGAAATAAGAATCATCGAATTGTTTTGTCGTAGATACATGTCTGTTTACTAGGATTAAAATGAATTAATTAAATATAATGAAATTACGCAGAGAGAGTATATAACTCATTACTGTTTGTAATTCTTACAATTATAAATGAAATGAAATTCACATTTTTTAAACAGAACATGTTCGGACTATAATTTGTGTAACACTTGGTCTGCATTTTACCCATGATAATTGTGTGTAACTTTAGGCCACCCTGTATAGAGAATGGTAACGCATAGAAACATTTCGAGAAGGGTTATACGATCTTTTGGTTGATTTATGCAACGAACTCGCATTTTACAGCAGCGTTCTTCCACTTCGTTTAACCGTTTTTTCGAAAGAGTGGGTACAGAAAATACATTCTTCATCCACTGCAGATAGAAAAATAAAAAAAGATGCAGCAAACTGTAGATGCAGACTGCATAATTTATACAAGATGCTCACTGTAATATTCTGAACAATATTAAAAGCATTAATTATAATTTAATTTTAAAAAATAGAAATAATAATAACACAAATTTAACTTTTAATATAAAACTCGTTAAAATGAAAAAAATTATGAAATTTAGTAGAATTTCCGTTCTGTTTTTACTCTAATAATCCTTAAAAAATCCTAATAATCTATACTATTTTACTCTAATAATCTATATTATGAATTACTCTAAAAAATCTTAATTATGAATAGAAATGTCAAGTTAATTACGTTTTTCATACATTTTTTCAGAAAAACGTTGATTTATGTAAAAATTCGTAATTTATGCATATAATTCTACTTTCAGTAGCAAATGTGTTAAATAAAACGGCACCGATTGTATATCATTAGTTTCAGTTACTCTAAAAATTGAAAACAAATTGAAAATCTTCTGAAAATGTACTCCAAACACAAATAATAATTGTTTACAATCTCAGCTAGTGCCAAAAAATTACGCACGTATACTTCAATACTCTCTTGAGTGTAGCTTTCACAGCTGCGTCCATTTTTTTACTCTCAACAGTAGCCCTCTTACAATCAAGTCCACAAATAGTATTGCAATGAACATCCTGTAGATATGAGTATAAATATATCTAGATATACTGGTAATAAAATATCGAAACAGAGGAAGATATGGAAGTAGATACAAGGATATGGACATAAATACAGATGTAAATACAGATACAGACACTGAAAATGGACATAGATGTAGACACAGAGGTAGACATAGATGTAGACATAGATGTAGAGACATAGATGTAGACACAGAAGTAGCCATAGATGTAGACATAGATGTAGACACAGAAGTAGACATAGATGTAGACATAAATGTAGACATAGATTTAGACATGGATGTAGACATAGATGTAGACATAGATGTAGACATAGATGTAGACATAGATTTAGACATAGATTTAGACATAGATGTAGACATAGATGTAGACATAGATGTAGACATAGATGTAGACATAGATGTAGACATAGATGTAGACATAGATGTAGACATAGATGTAGGCATAGATGTAGACATAGATGTAGATGCAGACATGCATACAGATATAGATGTGGCTATAAATATGAATATTGAATATAGATATATTATATATGTATAGATGTAGATACAGATGTAGGCAGAGACACGAATTAGATGTAGGCATAGGTATAGATATAAGCACGGATGCAGAGACGGCGAGAGAAGGGAAGTACCTTGTGCTTATGTAATTATTCATAGTGCATAAACAGTGTTTTTTTTTTCTTTTATTTTTGGTGTAAGAGGGAGGAACAGTGGTACCTGAAAGACCGTGACAAGTGCCCAGACGATGTCGTTGAAATGTTTGCGATCACAGCGGCACATTGGGTGCCGCGAGACCACCTCGGCACAGGTGCAGGGCCGACTCCGGTCCGCCCACATGCAAAACTTACCCCCGAACAGGTACATCCCTAGGATGCTGCAACCGAGACAACCCGCCTGCCTAAAGTATCACCGCGATTCAGATCGACGGTTTTAAGGATAAGGGATCCAGGAAGGAGGGGGATACCGATATACGCCACTCCTCTTGAAGCGTCTTCCTCTTTTTCATAGTACCTCCCTCTCTATAAGCGCGCTTCAGTCACTTTCTTAAAATTTCATTGGTCAGCCATACGCACGCGCAGACTCATTCTACCGTCTCTTCATCTGTCGTGAATCGAATTTCACTCTGCAATTAACTACAGTATTCTCTTTCTCCCTATAAGGGCGCTTTTCATCTTTTTAAAATTCCTGTAGCGTATTAAGTCTTCGTAATTAACCACAGTGTTTTTCTGGCCACTATAAACGCAATTTGTTCGGCTTCTTTAGTGCTACGTCTCGTATAAATTATAATACGCTGCGTGTTTATAGACACAGCGGATTCGATGGTAATTTGAAAAATGATGAGTCTAATATGAAAAATTTGAAATATAATCTGTCCTATATGCCCGCGTTAGGGTCTCCTAGACGTTATACAGGGTGATCCACCCATCGCTGCCACCTAATTTACTTGTAAACTTTTTGTTATATGAAAAAATATTTCAAATAAAAGTATAGTACATTAGTATTGATTTTTGGACCCATGTACTCTAATAGTTTTTTATTCAGCGTTCAACGCTCTTTCCGATTGCAGGGTCAAATTTTACACACGACGATACAAAATCTCAAGGTGACCTTCATATCCCGATAAACAAGCAAAATTGCAAAAAACTAATTACTACACTGTACGCTCCCCTTGATACCATACAACTTATTTTCGAAACATTTTTTCATACAACAAACAGTTTACAAGTAAATTAGGTACAAGCGTTAAATAAATCGGCCTGTAGCATATACAAAAAACAACCAAAACAACCTTCTTTAAATGTAAATTCGATAGTAAATCGTCGATTATATGGAATTTATATATTTAAGGGTACTTTATTATTTAAACTACTTACAAAAAATAAAACTACTATATTTGCCGTCTTTGACCACGAACAATGCCCGCCACGGATGAAGAGAGTAGAGAAATCTATAATGTGTATGGCTGCTAGTGATTCGAACCGACGTCCATCACCAATTGTTTCAGCTCGATTGGTTTTATCACTTACTCTCGCCCATACGAACAATCGGAGAAATGGGTCGAATGATCGCGATTTGAGCTATCCTCGACTCGAAAAAAGTACGTTCAGATCATGTAATGGCTTCGATGTCAGCCTCCTCAAATCGTGGGTCTGAATATTTTAAATGGTAATTCCGTGCTGGAATTGTGTCCCCGTTCGGTCATCACGATATTATTCATCCGGTTGGAAATGATTATTACTCACGGATGAATAGAGCTGGGATTCGAATGCCGCGTAAAGGAGAAATTGCGCGTCCTTGCGTCGCGATACAAAGCTCGATTCCTAATTCAAAAAATTACGATAACATAAAATTATTTTATTAACGGGTTTCCATTGTGGAATACAATTTTTCTAAAATTTTAAATAAATCACAACTTCTTTTGTCAGTAGAAAAATGTCTAAAAATAATTACACTATTTGGCACTCACTTGTGGCTGAGTTACTAAAAGAACCAATATGACGGAGCTGGATTATGAACTACCATACACTATGTTTATGCAGAGGAAATTTACTCTTCAATAAACAAGTAAGAATCAATAACTTCATTCGACAAATTCAAATTCTATTTCCACGTTTCATATTTCATGTTTCGTACATCGACAAAAAATAATTGGAAATAATAATATGTAAAACTCGATGTGACACGAAAATCGGCTCCATTTTGAAGTTTTAGCGGGAAATTTGAATATGGATGTTTGAATCGTTTGAAATTTAAATTGTTTGATATTTATCTAAAGTTCTAAATGCATGGTAATAATTTTGTGTCGCGTAATTGTTGAATCGAACTGACGACAATTGGTTTGTAAACGAAAAGTTATTAAATTGAATGGAAAGATGCTTCGAGGGGGCAGCGATTAAGCAGGTATGTCGGGTGGACAGCGGAAACAACTGTCACTCGAAGCTTGTATACAGTCACATTATGCAAGATCGGCGTATGTCTTTGTTCCACTTATACAAATACGTGTGTCTTCGTATCCAGAACAAGGAAACAAATAGGCGCAACGTGTATAAAGATACTCGTATGTTGTTATCAAGCGAATGTTACAGAAGCTGTGGTGTAACTGTAAGAAACTGTTACCATTGAATTTTTATCAACAAAACATTCTATCATCAACGTCCTTTACTGATCGAAATTAACAAAATACTCACGATTATATTCGTTTAATAAAAAAAAATGCCGATAAATTATCCAAGTTTCTTTCGTGGAGTATGGAGTATCAACAATTTTTCACGGAAAAAGTCCCTAGTTTTTTTTAAACTTATAAATAATTCCTAAAAAATAATATAGAGTTTCCTTGTCAGCTTGTTACATAACTTTGTAAATATCATAATAAATAAAATTTTCAGTTTAACTCTGATAATGAAGTGATACGACATAATTTTGCGAGGAAAGATTGTTTAGTTTGAAAGACAATTTATAGACTATTTTCAAAAGTATTAAAAATATATTTAACAAAAGAATGGTTTATTTGTATAACGTATTCATTCATCTTGATTGCTTTGTTATGCTAGATCCAAAAAAAGTAAATGTTATATTTTACTAGTAACTTGAATAATAGATATTCTATTTTATTTGTTTCTAAGAGAGATTAAATTCCTTAAGAAAAATTAATTGTTCTTCAACAATTTATAGGTCTTCTAAAAAATTAAATGAGAAATTTTTATTAAGAGACTATTATGAATTGTTGTCATTAACTTCCATGCATTTTTGTACATACAGTATATTAATCAAATTGTTACAGTTTTTATCACCATTTCTGGTTACACAATTGGTACACATTTGTGTGACACATAAGTTAAGTTATATATTTTTGCATATACAAAAAAAATTTTTAATTTCCCCACTTATTTAACAGCTCAAGGGTATCTAACCCCTTAAGTATTTCACATACTTTTCGTTGTGATTTGACGCTCCAGCCTCCACGAAAACGATCGAACAGAAAATAACTCGCGATCCGCCATTGTTACGGGACCGATATACAGGGTATAACAAAAGTGTTATAGGTCCCTGCAAAGGGGTACTCGTGAGATGATTTGGAACAAGTTTTTCCTTAGCAGAAATGTTAACAAAGCCTCGGATAACATTTTTGCTAAGGAAAAACTTGTTCCAAATCACCTGACGAGTGACTCATTTCAGGGACCTACAACACTTTTGTCACACCTTGTATATGTATCCCATCGAAGTGTTATAACAATCGTTGCAGAATGCACGTGGCAAACGTGTTTCGAGAAACAAAAACGAGAAAAAGAATTTAAATATAAACGGTGAAGTGCAAATGTTACATAGTTTCTAAAATATAAAGTTTGAAAATCTTGAACGAACTTTCAGCGACTAGTTGCACAATGTATTTAAGTAGTCACTATACAGTTATCGGTATTAGCGGTATCTGTGGTATCGTCATTGATGTACCTTATTATGTATGCCTCTAGTACAGTAGGACTCCACTTATCTGAACGAAAATCGACGAGCAAATCTGTTCGTACAACTACAAGCAACTATACAAAATGTCTCCGTACCTTCGTGATCCCTTAAAATAAAGTTTTAATCCAATTTTACATCCTTGTCAATATTATTATGTATTATAAATAAGTACAATTACAATAAAGTCGCGATAACTGCGCGCTGGATAAATACCCGTTAGAAGTGCCACTCTACTCACGCGTGCGCAGCCCACTTCTTGCCTTCTGTTGTCACTAATTGGTCGAATGACCTTCTATTGGCTCACGATAATTACCCGTTCCTAGAACTGCTCGCTTCTGGACCCCGAAAGGCAGGTAATTATCGCGAGTTTACTGTACTTGTTGAGTCTACTTGTGTATACCGTCCACGCCATATAAATCTATCGATTCTTCCTTCTGCCATTGGTAGAATACAGGTATACGTAAATTTTTCTGTTATTCTGAAGTGTATTGGATGTATAGGGTGAACCACCTAAATGAGATCAACTGAGTATCTACGTCACTCGTTTTATATAAAAAAGTTCCTTATGGCCGAATTTACAGACTATGTAAATGGATATACTTTCAAGGTCATTTTTAAGAGATTTCAAGGTCTATGGTATTTTTAAACAATAAATGCCTACATTTTACTTCTACATACTTCCAGAACATGAAAAAAAAAACAAATTCAACAACCTTAACAACCATAATCTCGAATTACAGTAAATTCTCGATAACTGCTCTGAAGGATCTCTACGTTAAATACTTCTATTTCATCCCCGTTATTGAGGGAGCTTTCACGCTGGAGGCTTGGCCCGAAATGCAGTTCATGAATTCGAAGAGATATCGTGTCTGTCTGCGATAACTACTCCAAAGTGGCTCCAAGTTTCGAGCATTTAATACTACGATAATTTACGTTTCGATAATTTCATCGAAGATTTACTGTATTTCCGTCTGCAGCTGTACTAAACAACTATGAATTCCGTTTGGATACAAACGTAATGAATCGACGTACCAAATTATCACAGGAAATTTTAATTGCCTTCAGATGAAAATAAAGGAGTTATTCAAGTGACCTCATTCAGGTGGTCCACCATGTATACAGTAAAATAATTAAACCGAATAATAAGTGGGAATAATTTATCGATAGGACTGTGCTATAATACTTATTTCACACTCTAATTTAATTCACATGAAAATTTCAGCCACTATGTTTAAAGATTTCGTAATTACCCGATCCATTATCGAGACACATTAAATTCGTATCATTCCATTATTATCAATATTATTATCATTATTATAATATATTATCCCCAATACAATTATTATTAAAGTCAGTAAAGTCACTTTGTTACAGTATTTGGTCCACGTGGCCAGAGTTCGGATAAGCGTTCGC